ATGCTGGGCAGTCTTGCCAGAAGTGGAGAACTTGGAATGAAGAGCTATGTGTAGTTAATTGACTTTGGGTGTATTTGCGCTGTAGGGTAGAGAATCAGTTCTCTGATTCTGACAGACTCTGACCAGTCCACTGATAGGTTACCCAGCCCCAAGTGGTCAGACCTAAACACATGTACATAGGAGCAACACTAAATGAAATTGAAAAATGGTTTGTGTATATATAGATGGTAGTTATGTGTGTGTATGTGCGCATGCATGCGTGTGTGTGTGGGGGGTGTGTGCGCGCGCGCGCGCGCGTGCGTGCGTGTGTATGTGTGTACAGTAATTATAGAAGAAGAGGCCATGAATCCAAGAGGGAGTTGGGAAGATATGGGGGGATTCAGAAGGAGGAGTTGAAATGATATAATTACAGTGTACTCCTGTGTGAAATTCTCAAAAAAAAAAAAAAATTAAAGGTTAATTCCATGAAGTTAAAAGCATTCTGTCTCTCACCAAGAGTCACTATTAATAGCAGAAAGGTAATGAAAATTTCCTGACAAGGATTTGTATATTCATTAAAAAAATTTTTTTTTATCAAAGTAGTATGCAACACCATTCCAAAATGACCACACAGCTTCTACGGAGAAATAGCCATCTCCAGATTCACCCTTCTTGCCCTCTGTCTGTGTCTCAGGTCATCTCCCTTTACTTCTTGTTATTTCTTCTGTCTGCTGCTTCATAGTTCATTGCTAGACAGCACGCTTATGTTTCTTGATTTATCTTTTTTTAAGTAATAGAAACACTTGGTAACTCAGCCTCAGCCCCATTCCACCTCCAGGTTTGGTGACTGACAAGGTAGCTTTTCAAGTCTCGTGATAACGGTGCTCACGAGTTTTCGTCTGCCTTGTGCCGCTGTAACAAGGTGCCCGAGTCTGTGCGGTTTACAATGAACAGACATTTGCTGGCGTGTAATGCTGGAGCTGTGAAATCCCAAATCCAGGGGAACGCCTTTGTGCTCAGTCATTCCAGGGGAGAAGGCAAAGGGGCAGGGTGGAGGTAGGGGGGGCAGCAAAAGCAGTATTGGCAGGCAGTGAGAACCATGAGC